AAAAATTCCTCCATGGCAGAGCTGAATTTTCTTTTCATGAGATAAAGTGCTTATAGTTTACTTACTGCAAATGAAAGTCCGCAAACACGTTTAAGAAAAGTAAACCGTTTCTCATAAGTAAATATTTGTGAGAATCTTAGTATTTAAACTCTCGTAATTTGGCACCAAATCGTCAAACCTAGTACAGTACTGTACTAAAATCCCCGCCATAATTTCCTTCTAGTTAAAGGTAGTGTAGGCCTATATTAGCCTACAATTAATGTGTAGGCTTAATCTGCTCCTTTATCTATGATCATTATCATAAAAATTGTATTTTACATATATGCCTAGTTTAAGAGTTATTATTTACGTCAGAAAGCCCTATCAACTACAAGGAAAACAAATGTAATGACTTCTGTTTTTATAATAGAGAATATTGATATTTGCGTCAATAATAATAGGATTATATTGTGGATTGAAAAGCAATCGTGAAGCCACCATGAACTTCTGAGTGTAGCCTGAATGATTTCAAGTAGACCATAAATTTATATTAAAGTTGCAAACAATGGCCTAGTGTTTGAAAAAATAACAAGAGAAAAATAGCTGAGGTAGTTGTTTCACCCTGGCCTAGTTATATAGTGTACTTCCTTAAGAACAAATTTGTTTGCCTAACTCAAAAAACAAGCAATCCGTCTTATGAAACTTGGTTCCATGTTTGGTTGGCTAGCCTTTAGCAAACACCACAACGTGTCTTATGGTAATCATACACATCAATCAAAAAGTTTACTTTTCCCATCGTAAAGACTGCTTGAATATCTTATTTTTTGGTTGAGAGATAAAATGAGAGAAAAAAAGTCTCAATAAGAAGTGACAGAATACGCTATAAACTCAATATTTTACATTCTTCAGACAAATCGGTATTAATAACATTGTAAGAATTTCGAAATGATGTTTTGCCCTCCCTGACGTGTTATAAGTACTGAATGCTCAGTACATTCACAAATACTTGCGAACAAACATTTCGCAAGTGATTCGGGTGGGAATCGAACCCACGACCTCTAGGCAACTAGCCTGGAGGTCTTGCTCTTGGTGGCTAGTGATGAAGTAATAACTGGTACTACAATGCTATTAATACAACAACTGCAACTGTTGCTACTACAGCAACAGTTGCAGAAACAGTTGCTGCTACAGCTGCTGCTTTGCTGCTGCTGCTGCTACTACCACTAAAAACATCTACTAGGCCTACTAGCGGTACGGCTACTGCTACCCTCTTAGTGATATTATAAATAATACGTTATCTATAATTGTGTTTTCATAGATAATAATCAGCAGATTACAAAGTCATTATATTATAGAAGTCTCGCATATCATAATATTTCTAGTATATCTTTTACATGTAATTTATAATATTTCAATAAAGTAGACCTTTATCTGACGTTGTACGGCGGACCAGAGGCCTAAACGTTCTTATAAATACAAATAATTAACATTGTATGTGGTCTACAATTAACATTGTATGTGGTCTATATTCTAATACTGTACTACTTTTATTACTATTATCAATTTATCATTCGTTAGCCTATATAGATTTTCGCTACAGTAGACAGTCGACGCGTGTGCACATCAGAGGGTTTCAGCAGTCAGAGCTTCCACGTTTCTGTTTGACGCGTCTACCACAAGTGGCGGAGGCTGACAAATTGTGACGTACCCACTGTATTTCTCTTTCGTTGCGTTTCTTGTGTTTCCGTTGAAAGCTTACAAACATTATAGGCTTTTTTTTCGATGTAATAAGTTCAAAGTATTCAAAAAAAAATTCTAATTACTGTCGATTGTTAACATTTTCAGTAGGATTTTTCCAAACACAAACTGAAAATATTTAATAAAATAATAATTTTTAAGAACTAAAAAGAAGAAATTTAAAAAAATTCTAACCACTGTGGTTTCTGTGATCTAACAAATATTACTACGATCAAATAATCTGCCAACATGCTTTAAAATGAAACATATGAAAAATCAATTAGCCCCAAATCGGTCCTGTATTCTTCTTCGATTATAAAAGACTAGAGTACATCACCGTCTCGACGGAGTCTTGTTGAAAAGGTAAAACGTCTATAATAAGCATGTCTGGTTTGATGGGAAAAAAATGATTTTAAAGATACAAACCCACTTACACCGTGCTGTAAACTTGAACAATATAGTTAAATATTTAAACTGTACCGGTAACATTATATATTGTCAATTACAAGAATTACTGGAAAATAGAACAAAAATCGCTTTTTTCTCCAATTACAATTTTTGGTAACACATTAAAAAAAAAACAACTCCAAGGCTGAAATTGCTTGAAAAATAGGAACAATAAAAGAACAAATTGAGGCTGAAGTCAAATGAGGTTTATATTTAAAAAACTAGGAAAAAAAAAATCAAGCTAGTCACACAATAAAGTATTAATGTTTAAAGAGGTTACAGTATACTGTAAAATTATTTTGGTCTTATTAATACCTTATGTCTAATAGCTACTATAATACAGTACAGTAATACACTGCTGTAATAATAATAATAATAATGATAATGATAATGATAATGATAATGATAATGATAATGATAATGATAATGAAAGTGTGTAAAATCAGAACAAAGTAAGAAAATTTTGAGCCTCTGAAATTAGTAGAACACTGAACCTGGGCACAATTTTACTGGTTCTTGTAGAAAAAAAATAGTATCATATTTATGTTCTTTACATCTTAAGTGGCTGGTAATAAAAAATAATCATCAACAAAAAAATGTTAAAATGCATAATATTTTATTATGTTAAATATATGCTAACCTATACCTTAGCGTATATAACTTTGTAGATTTTATGAGTTTAGCCAGTTAACAATATTTGAAACTTTAACGATGAAAGAAATTGTAATACGTAGTACTTTTATCGTGTAAATATAAAAATTAGGCTTATTAATACGATAACGATGTGATATTTAGAAGATGATTATCATGAGTAGTACACCCCAAGAAGACATAGATTGATCGAGGTGCATAAACTAGTATGTTGTCGGCGCTGATCGGGAATTAGGCCCTCTATTGGGAATAATATTTCTACCATGCTGGCGGAAACATAGAAAAAAGTTAAGGCGTATTTTAACTAAGACCCGGGCTTATGATCAGGTTTTCATCGAAAGACATCAGAGTTTCACCATATGTTTTTACTTTTTGTTTTTGCTTCAAATAAATGTTGTGTTTATCAGCAGAATAGTATTAAAACTATGTTGAAATGAACAGATTTGTATCGTGGTTCCTGTTTGAGCCCCACTTGTGTATGAATGTCCATTCTTTCATGTAGGCATAATGTTTACTCTCGGTTATAAAGGTCTCGAGAGATTGTTTACATTGGCAGTACACAGTACATACAAGTATGTACTCCCAATTACAGACACCGGTATAAAGTCCATCATCATTTATTGTATATCGAAGGGGATATACTCTGATTACATTATATGACAAATGTGTACAGAGATCCCAAAGTAAACACGAGACACAATAATTTCCAACAACACAATTGAGAGATTTCTATTCTTATATTTTGTAATACACACTGGTATTATCACACTCCCTACAAAAAGGGCTTCCCCAATCTGTCTCCTTTTGTTCATAATCTATTAGTCAATGATTTTCTCAAATTTATTGTGTTGTGTTTGTTGTTGTACGGCCGTCTACGAACCATAGTTTTGTTTATATGTATACTACGCCGCATTGTATTGAAACAAAAGGGGTAAGAGGGAACCCTCGTTGCAGGATTCCGATCTGCATCAGTATGAATACTGGACTATAGATTTTATACATTCTTAACTGTTTGATTTAGTCCATCAAAAGGCAATTTCAATGGATAGTCTAGCCATAGTATCCTGCCTTTATTCCCACGTTCGTTTATTTGTGTTCACTCCACAAGGTTGGGCAATCCCCACTACCTTTTTACAAGGCAACAATTAAACCGGTATTTAACAATAGGTCTTCAGTGAAATAGTAGTTGTTTCATTGTCTTTTGTTCATATAGTTCATTGACTATTCATATTTCTATACATTATTTCGAGTCGAAGAATTTAATTCCAGGCACATCAATAGCTGTAGTCAACTTGAAATAATATCGTTCATAAAGAGCGGAGTTTGACCCTAAGGTTTGGTATGGTAGGTCGAAGCATTTAGGTAGATAACATTGTTTACCAACAAATATTTGAGGGAAACGAAAATTGACCAACACAACTGATGTAACTTCCATTGAATTTACATACAGTAGGAATGCTTTCTCTCAGAGATGCGTATAGGCTGCTTGGACATTGTAATTATTAGGCCTATTATCATGACCATGACCATCATTATTATCATCACCATCATCATCGTTGTCATTGTCAACGCGTCATCACCATCATCATCATCATCTCATCGTCATTATCAACACCATCACCATCATTGCTGTCGTCATCATATCATCATCATCATTATTATTACTATTAACTTACTCAAAAATGTAAACATCTCTGTAATTAATTCTCGATAATTAATTTACTGAATTAAATTTGCATATAATATGATTTGCATATCTAATAATAATTTGCATAATTAATCGTATAATATTTATATCAACTTATATATAATGTAGACCTGACTTGCATAATATAATATACAAACAGTAGTTTACTTTTACATAAACGAATTAAACTAAAGGTGTCTATAAATCATAATATCAAGTTAGATTAAACCCAATTAAAATAGTATACAATGTTTATTATAGCTTTTATTAATACAAAGTTTACACCTTTAGTTTTTAATTTCGTTTACAGCAACCGCTTATATTACGTGGTAATGATAACGTGGTAATGAGAAATTGGCTACTAGAAGTACAGAATCATTCACATATGAATGTTCTTACCAAAATGACAATCATGTGAAAAAGTGTATAATTATCAACTAAACATTTCATTATTTCATGATAAAATTAATATACATATAATATTTATCATTCTTTACAGATATCCTAGTAGTTTTCAATTCGTTGTGAATGGTGAGTCAATTTTGTTTTTAATTGTTAATTCTTGATAGTTTCTTATTGAAATGAAGTGGTCTGTGAATTTATATTTCGAATATCAATGTTTTTATAAGCGGAGGAAGAGTATTTTGAAATTAAAATGTCTGAAAACTGCTTTAGAGAAAACTACACTTGAAAAAAAAATATATTTTTGTAGGTTTATTGGAGCGATGCGTTGCCCTGCCTGGTGGGTTGTCGTACTAAATACTCTTAGACTTACACTTTTTAGATTTGCTTATCAATTCTAGAAGACAGCTTTACAAAATATCCCTTAAAACGTATGTAAATAAACTTAAAACATTGATATTTATCAATTATAAAAATTAAACTTATCAGAAACACTGAGATCTCATTTTTGTCAAAATATAATTTTTTTTAAATTTGAATTGTTAAGTTTTTATTTTCTTAGCTTGTTTTTCTTTGGACTAACGTACGAGTGTCGTGTCATTTCCAGATTTAAAAAATACAAATATTTACATCAAAATGTCCTGGCGTACAATACGACACGTCACAGACTTTTTGGCCTGACCATTTAACGATGTGCTTTTGCGAAGGTGATCGTCTGAGACCCCCAATACTCAAGTTTAAACCAAGGAACTTGAAGTTTGAACCAATGAGTTTGGGGCTGGAAGACGAGCACTTAACCGCCGTGTCACAGCCTCTAAGTTTGTACTTTAGATAGGTGGTTAGCAATCAACTTCCTGTCGTAGAATTCTCGGTTCAACAGTACACGCGACCAAAAAAAAAAAATATATTTTTTTTTTCTTAATTATCAGAGGCGTACCGTACCTGCTACTAAAATGATGTACTATGTGGTATGATATTGCGTATTCCTACCATGTATTTTGCAGTCGATAGCAACTTGAACTTTTCGATAAGCCCTTGGATATTGTTGCTTACAAAACAATAGCGTGCGCGTAAATATACTGTACGTAAACACGTGCGTTTGCGGGACAACACGTGTGTTTGTGAGACATGCGCGTATTTCTGGGCCCTGCTCTGATTGGTCAGTTAAGTTTGATTAACACTCCGCAAAAGTCCGTTCTCCACAGGTTTCATAGTCTTATCATTTTCATTTATGTTCATCTTCAATCATAAAAAAAACTCAATTCTAGCCCTATATTGTTCTTATTACGTATTAAATGCTGATTACATTTATAATTAGATACGGGGATAGTTTACAAAATGACTAAAATGCCCAAAATTGAAGAATATAACTTTTCGAACTATTATTAATACATTTTTATATTTTTTGTCTGTATTTAGCTAAATAGCTTTAAATAAAATAATTAAATTTTAGTTGGTTATTGTAAGCCTATTTGCAAGTAGAGACTAATATAGTAATTAATTAATAAAATTTCTAATATATAGGGAAATCAGCAAAAACTTGTTTGAAAGGGCGATATATTATTTAATACTTTTAAATAATATTTTCTATTTTAATTAGGCCTACGTTTTTGATGAATTTTTAAAAATTTGATCAACTATAACCGTGACATGAGTTAATTGTATAGGCCTATACCGGTATACCGATTGAAATTTGTATAGGCCTAGTGTTGCAAAAACATGGGAATTACATGGTCGCTTAAAATGGAAATGCAGAAATTTGCATTAAAGTTATTTGTAACCAGGTATAGCTGAACCACCTGTTGTTGTTAGTATGTGTGTTTTACCCATCTCCAAAGGATAATACTTTTCATATCAAGCAGACCTTAATTCCGCTTTGAAAAAAAACGTCGGAGAATAAAAAAAATGTTAACATCATTAAACCCGTCGCTGTATTTAACAAGGTGGGATTATGCCGTAACGGATGAATGGTTATGTGCCACATTTTAAACTATAGGCTTAATGGAACATGTATGGTACATAATATTCTATAAAAGTCAGAAGTAACGGTCCGAAAGTGTTGGTTTCGTTAGCGATTAAGTGATGGGGAAAACGGCATGCGGGATGGTACAGTAAGTAGGAGGACAATATACCTGTATACACAAATTGTATTATATTCCTAACTTAAGTATAACTATTGTGTTTATCGGGTAATAATATCGAAAGAATGCATGGAAATATCTCATATCACGTTATTGATGTGTATCCTTTATACTAACATTACATTGAAGGCAAAACACATTAAATTTCATTTTTGTTTTGTTCTATGCACTAACCTTGATGAAGATGTAGACAAACGGTAGTAAAATTCAGTGTAAAAATATCGAAGTATCGACGAAGAGGCGCCCGGTGTGTCTATGTATAACACACGAAATTGATATAGCAGACAGGTGGCCACGATTTAAAGATAGAACATGAGACAAATATAATGTACTGAAGCGGGCGAGTTCAAGATTAAGCGTGGGGCTGTGGCATTGAGGAGGGGTTACGCTGACCAAGGATACGATGAAGGTCGCAGAGAAAAACATCCAATACATCTTGCAGATAGGATCTCGGAACAACAGAAGTTCCGGTGCTTGTGGTCTGTTTAAGGCATCTAACATCGAGGTATTAAGGTTATTGCTGGTGACAGGAAGGACCTCCTTAATAGTGTACGGATATGTTTGGAAACACACCTGCCCAGGCGAAGCTTTGCATCTAGCTGCTCACCCGCCTGCGTGACCGACCGCATCATTAGGATTATGTATATACTTGGAGCGTTAACTTTTTTGTCAACAGCTCTTTTTAGAATCCCGAGAGTTGTTTTTCCCCAAGAGTTAAAGCGATACAACAGTGGCACATTCGTTTGATGATCATCCGTCAAGGGTCTTCGAATAAGTTACCACATCCTCTAGTAACCATAACCCCTTATACAAACCTCAATATATAATTTTAAATATAGG